AAGCCCTGACTACAGGTAACAGATGGATCTTCCCTGAGGTCGACCCGGTTGGTACAACTCACACCTCAGTCTGCGGTGCCAGCGGTTTCCCCCTGCACTCACTTCCAGACTGGAGTGGTTGTCTCTGTGTCCCCACTGTGCCTGACACCCTGCCTTGTATGGACAAACCAGTCAACACAGGCTAAAATAAGCGTACTCCCCTTCTCACAGATAGAGCACCTGGAATACCGGAGGAGAGAGGACACTTCGAGATAAACTCCTTCCACAGGGCACCCACATATGCACTCAAATCCAGCACCAAGACAGCCCTGGGATCTCAGTATTCCCCAGATGACGATCCAGTGGGAGCCACGCTTTCTGGAGACGAGGTACGAATATTGTCTGTGTCTTGGGTATGGGACCTCAATCCTACCTTGTGTCAGTCCTACAAATGCCAGCTATGTACGAACTCCTGAGATGTTCTGCCACTTCCACGGTTTCCTAGGCTGTGAAACCCAGGGTAGACGAGGGCCGGAGGCTCTTCCTTTTGGCACAAAACAGGGGAAGCCCTGACTGCTGCCCACGGAAGCCAGAGGCTGACAGGGAGCCCCACACAGCCTTGACTGGCTCTGGGACCTTGAGCAAATGACTTAGCCTCTCATTCTCAGTGTCCTTATCTGTAAAATGGAAGTGATAATTCTACCGACCTTGTGGGAATGTTATAATGTTTGAATTTGACACCATGGGAGTAATATGCTGAGCACCGGTCCTGGTGTGATAACAGTGCTCAATAAATGCTGCTTATTCTCTCTTTAGCTGCAGGACTAGGAAAGCGTCACAAAGGAAGGCAAAGGAATAAGGGACACCAAAGACGAGGAGGATGGGGTCATCACCTCGAAACGGGCCATGAAGTCCTTCAGGTTGGGGAACGCATCCAGGCACTTGGGCTCAAATATACGGTGCAGGTCAAGGACATCGTAAGTGAGGAAATCCACAAAGGTGATCTGCAGAAGGCCAACGGTGAGTGGGCTGGAAGCTTCAGGACACAGGAAATATGACAATTCTCATTCCCCATCACCGGCCCCTTTACCTTGTCCCCTGCAAACCAGGGCCGTGTCCCCAGGAACTGTGAGTACAGCTTCAGCGTTTCAGGGAGGCCCCCCAAGTACTCGGGCTTCAGTTTCTCCTGAGACAGAGAATAGCTGTCACCACCCTCAGACACCAGCGCCCCGGGCACAGAGGCAGGCCTCCCCAGGGCTGTGCGTGACACCCTGGCCACAGGTGAGCAGCCATCTTCCTCACAACTGCAACTGGGCCAGTGCCCAGCCCTCCATTAATACATCAGGATTGATTAGGCTCCTACTGACGACCAGACCCTATCTGAGGCGAGGGGAAGGCAGAGAGGATTAAGCTGTCCCTGAATCTGTCACCACTGATCTCTAAGCAAACCTCCTGTGGGTCAGACCCAGGAGCACCCTGAGCACCCGGCAGGCTCTGCACTGAGACGGCAGGCAGAATGACAACAGGAAAGTAT